GTTCTTTCATGGAATGATGTATGTTTTGAATAGTTCAAAATTTTATTTTAATTAAATTATTATAAACAAAAATATATAGTTGTGAGTCTTCGGAAGACATTTAAAATTACATTTAATTAAATTATGAATGAAGCGACGCAGTGTACGAGGCGAAAGAAGAACCCATGAAATCGGGTCCCGTTGGCAGATTTTACCACAATAGACAGAGAAAGGATTATTATAGTGGGCATTGATCTTTTTGCTTATTTAATTTAAGTACACAATAAACTCTAATCAAGTTTTTTAGTAATTCAGGATGGCTCCTGTAATACTTATCATCTTGTAATAAAGCGCCATAGTGGACCTAATGATCTTTAAATCAACGGTGTAAAATAAGTATATCACGATTAATACGTACACATTCGGAAAAAAATCGTTTTTTAAAACGTAAACTTCAAGATAATCAATATCTTCAAGATAATTCTCGATAAATAATTTTATAATGAACAAAAGCTTATCAAAGGACGCCATACATTCCCATTTAAAGCTTAGTTTAACCTCAATACACCGCACATATAAGAGTCAATATTAAAAGTAAAACCGAAAAAAAAATGCTCCATCCACGAAATGTCATAATAGAATCTGTGACGAATGTTCCACAGCTTTTGTCGTCTTTGACAACATTCCGGTTCGTTGCACGCTATACACATGTAAATAGGGACCTTCGCTTTCTAAAATATGAAAATTGAAATATCGTCCATCCGAATTTGCCAGACAAAATGTATGTTTAACCCTGTGTAAAATTCTTTACATGCATCGAGCACAATATGTTTAACATAGCGTTAAGTAACAAAGCGTAGGTATTAAGAAATAGTTTTACAATGGTATAAAAGAAAATTCAAATTCAACGATGAACTTCTTCGTTCACCACATAACGTCATTGAATATACTTTATGTCTAGAAAACAATATTTTAAACGTGCTATGCGTATTTATAGGCTATATTCGACCTGTATGTATCGAAGGCGGCATTTGGTTTAAAATCTTACGGTTTACTTAATTGCCCCAATCTGTTAACAGAGCGAATCAAACGGTTCAATAGCAAGCGGGGAACATTGAATTGAAGATTGGCTCATAAATTTAATTTCTAATTGGCAGTACTTTAATATCACTAATCATACAGATTTGTCAAACAACCATTTTGATTAATTGTTATTGTTAGAGAACTCTTAACGGACAAGAAAATCCATAAGTGACAGTTATTCATTTTATCCCCTATAAAGCAGTTGGGATCAATCATTTCGAACGCTTTGTATGTTAATTATAGACTCTAGGTTTTTACCTTTCACAATAAAACTTAAGTCTGTTGGTCATTATAATCACTCGAACGCTCTTTTCCTCTGATTGTTAAGAGGAAAATATTTCGCTGATGATAGTACGCGTATGTGGGAGAGTTCTTAATTACTTATACGTAATGTCGACGCTAGTTATTGAAAGCGCGAAGAAAGCTACCATCGAAATAGTCAACAAACCTCTCGCGTGTCAACTCGACCATCATACCGTCCACCATCGCGTAGTTTCTCGCAAATTCGCCTACGACTACGTATATCAACCGCACAAGAGCACACTGAATTATTGGCTTTTATAATCGCTTCTTTTCGACACCATTTACATGGAAACCACAACATATAAAAGAAAATTGACTACTGACATATAGCGAGGCGTTTTTATTGTTATATAGAATTTTATTGTTCTACAGTCATATTAATATAATGTTTATAGAAATATCGGTAATAAAGAGATATAATGAATACATTTACGAATAATTTAATACACAATCAGAAAAGATGTACCAAAAGAAAATAAAGTCTTTCAAACGCGGGACAGTCATAATTATTATACTTTCGAATATTCCGACATCGATTCCCTGATTCCGAGCGTCGAGAACGGCTTTGAGTCACTCCTTTCATGTCCAAAAAGTTGTAAAGTGAAAGTTGTGACGCCACGTGAGGAATCTAGTCATTCACCGGCCGGTGTTGAGTAACCGAAATAATTTGAGCAGGCGTCTGACGAATTCATTGGATATAATAATATTGTGCATTTTTCTCTCTAACGTAACTGATACGTGCGATAAGAAATAGGTTAATATAAAAATAATGCGAATTAAACATGATTGGATGCATCTCGATGATACCGTTTGGTCCACATCTAGATTATATTAACGGTGCGTTAAGACATGCACCTCAGTGAATTGCGGTCAACTTGTATGTCCGCTGATACCACTTGTGTTCTCATCGATAGTTATAAAGATGTCATACAAATACTGGCCAGAATTCTGCAATATAAAAAATTAATGCAATATAAAAGAACTACATTAAACCGAACTTGTAGAAATGTTTTGTTTTATTCCTAACCAAGGCATATATTCTGTCCCGTAACCAAGAACGCTCTCATTTGTTCAATATTTGGAAATTGAAAATAAAATTCGAAAAAAATCATGAAATAAGTTTACTTGTCCGTGTGTATGATAGGATTGGCCTAAATGCAAAAAATTGCATACCTACCACACTATACACCAGACCAGATGACGTACGGCGATAATTAATTTAATGAAAAACTATACCTTGGCTAAAAGTTTGTATCCAACTTTGCAATCGCAAACAATATTATGGCAAGGAAAGTCTTTACGTCCCGATTCAGTCTACTTAAAATAACACAACTCAGACCCATATCCGTGTGTGATGCACGCACAATCGCGGACCTGTGCGGCTTTAGAAAGCGGATCGCCACCGGACCGGTTGGTGAGTGGGCTAAAACTTGCCTAAAAAGAGGCGAGACGGAGATCGTCGAAAATAATTACGCAATAATGGTTCTTTTTCTTTTTAATTTCTTCTCACGAAAAACCCGACCGCAAACCGGGAATCGGTGAAAATCGAAACTCATTCCACCGCGGCGAATATCCGATGAAAGCGGACTGCGATGGGATCGGGTTGGCTGTATCTGCAGCGCTCACTCCGAAACGGGAAAAACGCTAACCTTGCATGGCAGTGGCAGTGACGATGGAATACACGCGACTCGGCCTGGCTTTCACCAGAGCCATGCCGGCCGCGCCTCGCACCGACTGCGCGCGTATTGGGCCGTTCTGTCGCCGAAACGCGTGTATCCGAAACGCCATACGATATATGCGAACTATTTAAATACGTTAAAAGACGAATAAGAATATTTTTTTTTTATCCTGCTTTTGACCGCAACCTTTATTCATAACGATTTTGACTTCTTTTTTTTGTTATAAAAGTAATTAGGTACATAATTATGCAATTTTAATTGGGTACGCAACCCTAGTTGGGTTGCGTACCCAATTAAGATTATGTTATTATATAATCCTTGTAAGCTATTATGGAAATTTCCATATCATAGCCTGACAAGGATTGATGAACAATTTTTTATTACATTGTGACCCACAAATTAAAGAAAACACTTCCGATTCGATCCAAATTCAGGTTGCCGTGTAATACATGAAATTAAGCTGCCGTCGCCGTAAGCTGTGTCGTAGCGTTGTTGCTAGATTATAACGTCTAAGTTAGTGAGAACGCAAACTAAACAAATTAATACGAGTAGTGTCACGATTTATACCAAAAAACATTACCTCTGGGGCATAAAGAAACCATTCCAAAACAATGCAGAAACCATAACAGCTCGACTGACAATGAAATTGCTTATTGTATTGTCAACGCAAACAGCGCTATAAAACTGCGCAGACTCTCCCGCGCTTTTCCAGCTTTCACCGAAGTGTACCGCCAAGAAGGCGGCTTAAACGCCTGCCACATTTATTTGTCAAACAAATTCAGCATACTGTTCGCGACACGTTTGAATAACACTGGACGTATAACAGTGGAATTGCAACGAAGCATACATAAAACATAAGCTCTGTGTGTTGCCGCAACCAATTTCGCCGGAGAAAATCTCGTTGCGTACGCTAGTCATCTCGACTCACCGTGTCAAACTCCCACAGGTTGTAATATTCATAATTAGGACGTCATATTCTTATAATCATTAAAAAAAGTAATAAGAAAATGTCATTTACTGGTAAATATAACAGTTTTTTTCAGCATATTCAACAGATAATTCATTTAAAAAGTACACAGCTTAGGGCCTTTCATCTTAGTCATCCATTTTATGAGTTTCGCGCTTCCACCGAACGTACGAATTGAACGTCTTAATAAACGTATAAATATAATAGCGTTTAAATCGTAATGTAAACGCGGAGTGAAAATGGGATTTATGTCGGCAAAAAAAGTAGACCGGCAGGCCAGTTTGTCGATGCGCATATTTATATCAATTTATGCAACTAACATCTATTAACGCAGGTGGATGAAGTGACATCCCAACAACAGTTACTGGTGACCGGGTCACCCGTTACATTGGAGGTTGTCGAACGCAACTAGCACACTTCCATACCAGATGAATGTGGCCCACGGACTGCATCGCGTATGGCATCTCAAAATCGTAAAGCAATGCCCTCCAAAATTGTCTACTTAGGAAAAGTTAAGAACCTATAAAGCAGCCGTGATGATTAGTTCCATATACTATCAAAAAGTACATAATTATTTCGCCCAATAGTACATAGATAAAACATATTTTTGTCATATTATTTATATTATGATAAAAGTGAATGATTTTTCTAGAATAGAATTCGCGTGAAAAGATATATTCATTTAACATCTTGGAGTCCTGACACGTCAAGTACAAGCTGTTGAAACAAGCGATTAAAACTCGATTTTGATTACACTAATGGTCTTCCATTAATTAAGACTCAGCATCCACGTAAAAATCCATCGCCGCGAACTTAGAAGCTACTTTCTACAACACTCTCCAAACGAGCCATCAAACCGCGCGAATCGCTCATCAGAACACTTTCTAAACTACGTCCAGTAACACGGCGCAATTGCATAAAAAGTATTTGAGTTTTATTCTTTCATTTTGTTACCTTCGTATTTACTTACGTATTTATAACGCAGCAGGATGCAGCAAAAGTTCACCGGATGGGCCCTTTTGGCCCTGATCAGCTCGTCGATGGTTCTTCATACGATCGCGTATCCTCAGCAACAAACGCCGCTCATATCAAGAGTAAGTTGAGTCAAAAGGCTACTAAATGCCATTTGTAATGTTACTTACCATGAAATAATTTATCCGTCAAAACAACCATTTTTTATGCAAATAATTTTATATAATTTGACCAAAGGCTGTATTACATAAATAAGTTAGTCTCCATAACCCAAAAACCTTACATAAATTAGACCCAAATATATTTCTGTTTTTAAATTTTGTTAATAGCTAAATTTATTTTCTGCGTTTGGTTTCCCCGTACGAGTAGGTACTGCATTATTAGCGAGCACATTGAGCACTTAAAATATATTGAAAAAAAAAAAAAAAAAACAATATTTTGCTTCCAGGCGACAAGTAACGTACGGACACATAATCCAGTATATTATAGTAACTCTTTGCCTTCGCCGCAAGAGCAATTGGGTCAAGAGAGGAAGTATGCCGAGAAACCAAACGCGCTCAAGAAAGTAGTCGACGATATCGATGATACACAAACTAATTCAATATCTGAAGGTGGTTTCTCCTGGTCAAATATGTTAGGTGAGTTTTTAAATGACGAACACATAAAATTTATTATTTTAAATGAGGTAGTGTTAACAATAGGCGAAAATCTATTATTATTTGGTAAGTTTTGAAATGATGAAACACAAAAAAATATTTCTTTAAATATATGAGGTAATGTTAACACAACACACGTAATTCTCTTATTTGATGAGTTTTAAAATGACGAACACGCATAAAATTTATTTTTGTAAATACATCTGGTACTGTTATCTGTGAAGTAATAGTTGAACGTTTATTATACAATAATAATAAGTAGCACTCAGCAAATGTGTATACAATAAAAAAATAAAACATATTTAATGAAAGGAAGAAGAAAATTAGAGTAAACAGCGATTGAATAATGGCTATTGATAATTTTCAGGTATGATAATGCAAATGATATTCAACCCAGGCGGCACCAGCCCCAACAAGAGCGACAGCATTGACACCGAACCGGCTTCTTCGTCACCATGGGCCAACTTGCTGTCCATGGGCCTAAAGATTTTAACAGCCATACTCGGAGGCGGTGCACCTGTTGACGGAATCGACAAAGTGGACTCTTCGTCCCCCATGCAGGTACCAAGTTGCATTCAATTAAAACTGGCACATTGACACACGACGCAGTATCAGTATCTTGTACAAAAACAAAGCGGTCTAATTTTATTATTAATGTATACATTACGGCAATAAACTAAATTACCTTAGAAAAAAACTAACAAATTTGTAGATATGACAAAGCAAATTCCAACAAATCCAATAATGTAAAATATCACCTTTGAAGTATTTCCCTCACCCGTATTTAGTGGTAGAGATTACAAATTGTAGTTGTTAGTGAGCTATACAATAACTACGACCGACTTGACTTGTCTTAGGATTGTCTCAAGGCAAAAATAGTTTCAAACTGTCTGATGGAACGCTTGTAGCGAATATTATAATATTATAATTTCCTTGAGGTAGTCCTGAGACAGCAGATGTAAATAGTAAAATTCGGTTACGGAGACGGTATTGCTTCTCGCTTGCTTCAGGGTATATTGGCTGCGGTTCTTTCGACGGTGCTCGGTGCAAAAGACCCCGACCAAGTCGCCTCGATGGCAAAGCAAGCTGGAGAGGTACGCCACTTACCCTTCCTTCTCCTTATCTACTCGCCCCTACTAAATTACATGTACCTATACAAGTTTTGCTTGTACATTATTTACAAACCTAATTCCTTGAAAACCTTTTCCGCTTTCACTTGCTAGCCTTGCTAATACATTGTTCATGTTACAGTTCATTAGCATCGTCGTGAATCTCCTGGATGCCCTCAAGACCTCATTCTCTCATCGGTCGCTTACTGCGCGATCTATGGGTCGTAAGGATTCAGTCAGCGATGCGGCCATCGCTGGTATATCCATGCTCAAGACCTATGTAAGGTCTTTTGGAACGAATGACGACAAATGTCTTCAAAAATACGTATGCGATGCTAACAATGAGTGTTCTTCTGACATTGGACCGAAAAGCATCTTCTGTCAGCTTGGAACGTAAGTTAAATAAATCCTCCCATAGTCATATTATTATAAAAATTACTTAGACTGGCTCAATTTTTTTCGAAAGGAACTAGTCGTTCGTTTTTGCCGCCAATAGTCTTATAATTATATTCCTCATCGACACCAGTATAAACTTATTTAAAAACCAATGAAAAATATGACGATGTTCGTTTTTTCAGATACGCAGCAAGTTTCGTGCTAGAGAGGCAATCCGGAGGCACCTTTGACGACTTCTATGAAGCTGGACGCAGAGGACGTTCCGGCATTGATTGCCGTCAATTGTATCTCGAATGTAACGAAGTTTAAAGACATAAATGCATTTAAACAAATATTTACTGCCAAAATCCCGAAAGAACGAACGCAGTGTCAAATTAAAAAAAAAGTTGATTAGGCCTGAACTAATTACGTTATCGGTACGTAATTATAAATAGACAAAAACGTTTCTGTCAATACCATAAGATGAGTGCCACGTGCCAAATTTGAAAAAAGAATTTAGCAACATGGCAAAAACATCAATTGATTTTTAAATCGAAGCGACATCTGATAATTTGTGTGCAAGTTATCCCATCGCACATTATAGAACACGCAATTAAATAAAACGTGTTCTCATAAGTATTTAATTTATTATTTATTTAACTTATTAAATAGGTTAATACGTAGGCATTACAAATTATAAAGAAAAAGGCAAGACCATCCAAAAATTCTATCCGGCATAGTATTCAAATCAAAGTGATTGATAAAAAAACCAGTGATTTCGCCAATTTTGTAATAACGACTGATGTAAAATTTAATATAGTGTGATATGGACCTTTGGTTGTATCACCTCATAGTTTAGTTATAAATATTATGTGTATATTTTTGTGATTATGGAATGAGTGAGGACGTCCTTGTGTGATTGTGATTGTTGAAATAAAACATAATTTAAAAAAATTTACATTCTTTTTCTTTCGCATTCACTTACCGAAAACAAATAAAGTCTCAACTTATTTCTATTTTATTACACGCAGAAATTATCTTTTTGACCGCCTTTATGATACGGCCATAATATTACTTTTCGACAAAAACTCAAATATTCTTTGTGTGAATATTAAACATTCCAAGATTTACCCCTTGAAAAAATACAGCAGAGGTAAAAATCGTTTAATGAAAAATAAAAAGTAAAAAAAAAAACAACAGAAAATTTAATGTATCACAAATGGGAATATTTTTAAATACAAATGGTTGTGGCAAAATAAATATCATCAAACGTTATCAAAAAAAGTTATCAATTTTAAATGCGTTTTTATGATTGAATAACATAAAAACGCATTTAAAATTGATAACTTTTAAATAGTACTTTTAGTACATAATAAATAAATAAAAAACAGAACAAGAACCGTTAAGTCTGCGCATGACTTATAATGGGGCAAAGGTAAGTAGAGCATGATAATAGTACCAACAGATGAGGAGAGCTACATCGTCAGTGGAACCCTTGCTTTCATAGAGTTTGACGTGAGTGACAAAACGGATATGGCGTTGGAACACCTGTTGTCACGAATGGGCTTGGAAACAAAACAGTTAAACGAAAGGTATCCCTTTGTATTGATAAAGATTACTTATGTCACAATTAATGATTCGTAATTCGTAATAATTCGTAAGAGATTTGTCCAGTTATATGTCGCCACGTAGAGAATTATTTTAAAATGCATCACAATATTTACACAAATAATAAGGAGACATTTAAATGACTTAAAATAATGTCAGAAAAATGTACTAATAAATACATTTTGCTCCAAGACACAGAGAACCAATAAGATGGTAAGGACTCAACAAACTCGACTATACAATAATATAACAATAACGGGATTCGATATACTGACTTAAATATTCTAAATGCTTAGATGCAAGCTTTTTAAAAACAATCTAGCTAATTATTGTATAGGTACCACGATACACAAGTATGATAAAATTGATTTCGGTTTGTGTGCAAAACTTAAGGATTAGAGTTCACCAGAAGGATGAAACATATATTTATAAGGCTTTACATACATATTTTTTTGTATTTCCTTAGATATGCAGAATATACGGCTCCTATGCACGACCAACAACTATTTTATGCCTACGAGCCTTCCGCGCCTCCTCATGGACACACCATTTCTACCAAACAGTAAGTAATACGACTTCACGTTTATCACCCACAATGACCGAAATGAAATGTTATGTACCTACCCGTATAATAAATTTGGACTCATACATAAAAACTTTTGTATTTCAAATTATAGAAAAGTTTCAATTATGAAGAACCTTGACACTTGCACATTTTTTTTTGGAAATCAAACCTGCATATATTTTTACCAGGCAGAAGAACGCAAAAGATCATAACACTTTTAAATCTCAGTACATCGATATTCGGATTGATGAACAGAAGATCATACAGAAATTAAGAAAGAATTTTTTTCATTATTCCATTGCCTGCAGTGGACTTTTGGCATCAGTGTCCTTTTGTGTTTCGTGGTGAGCGAGGTAACCGGGGGCCCACTCTTTTAAAGGTTGGCAACGCGTCTGCAAATCTACATGTGCCGTGGTATCCATTGGTAACGGTAATGACGTGACGTGGTGAACCGCCTTTTTTCGCCTGCCAACTTAACGTTAATTTTTCTTCCATTTTCCAGTCACTACACTGGCAGCCACAAAGGCAACGCTGCGATGTCAGCACTAACGCTATTGGCCTTTTTGTTCTTCCTGCACATACTACAGCAATGTTTGAAAGAACACATGATGGCCATGAGCACACCGCAAGTCATGATAATGACCGCGGGCAAAGAAGGCGACGAGAGTGTTGCCAAATTGTCACGTAATAATAAAATCGATAAAACTGGTGTTCCGCGCGCGGATGAGGCAAATGATGTAAAAACGTTTCCGGACGAGGAAACTGTAGCTGAGAGTCACACGAGCACCGGCCCCTCGCCGCCGGAGAATTTTTTGAAAATTAAAATTGCCGAGCACAGGCCGCGAGATGGTGCGCATAAATACAAAATTATCAAAAACCACGTATTCAATGACGAGAAGTAACATTAATGCGTTAACGTAGTTTTAGAATAAAGGAAAATTTATGGTAAATTATATAAATAAGGTAGAAATTGGGTATATTCAAAGTCACAATTCAGAGGAGTAATTTTTATTATAGTATACATACATTTAACGCACTTTGCTTATGGTTTACATCAAAATTTAAAATGATATAATAAACCTATAGCGGTCATTTGTTTCTTTTACAAATTAAAGGTTTGATCTCCTTTAATTTGAAGAGGAAGCAAATACAATCACCTTCATTTGAGGTACGTTTTTAGTCATTTACGAAGTGAAGACTAAGGTCTTTAGTAAGCTAAATGTACGTACAAATATTAAGATAGCAGATTTTACTAAAAGAAATATGTAAAATTGTTCCGTAACCGTGTCATTGGAATTTATGTAAGTAGTACCTATATCTAGTTATGAGAGAAACTGTGTAAAATAGTTTTTCGTATGTATTTCTGTATTCATAGTATTATATGTATTATTTCATATTATGAAAAAGAAATACAAGTTGAAGAGTTCGTAAATGTATGGTCTACGTATAAAACACTTGATAACTAATTCATTAATCACCATTTGAGGTACATCAATCAAAAAAGTTTCTGATATTCGTAGACTGAGCGAAAAACGGCAAAGAATTATATTTAGCTGAGTTTTTATAATCCTATTTTGTTATGTAATTCATACTTTCCTAAAACTTTATAGGACTGTATGGATCACGACTGAAACAAGCAAGATCTACACAAGACCTACACAAGCTACATGCGTCTCACTCTTTCAATGTACTTAGTCTGTGTCAGTGCACTGGACCCCATAGTAGGATCCGTCATACGGTTCCAATCGGTCTGACCCACAACAAATCCGATAGCACGCATCTTCTCTTGCTGCCTTCGCTCTTCTATATCGGCCCATCGCACCTGTGTTTTAAGTACAACACGATAAAAATAAGTCTCGAGTGCAAACTCACCTGTTTAGAACAATGTAAAACATAGCCATCACGGATTTGAAAAAAAAACGCTTTTTTTTTAATAATTTAAATCCGAATTCACGACAACGATGTGTTTTTGTAACATGTTGCAAAACTACAATGTATAGTTGATTGTTGGAACATGTCAATATTTTATTCTGCTAATGATCAAACTTCAATAGGTTATAAGGCCTAACCTTACGTCAAAAGTTATCAGATATGGTTGTAAAACTGTATAACCTTACCTTCGATAACCGCAGCATAATTAAAACAGTAATAGCTTAGATAAAAACTGCGCAAATTGAAACTGGTAACATAATTATGTTAACAACGCAAAGGCGACGTGGATCTTTCATTTTTATGTATGTTAATGTATTCAATTAAAACATTGATACATTCAAATAGATGAATTTCGCTATTGTAATGTCAATTACACCGGTATTCAAAATAAGGTCTTTTTTCTCTTTCTTCTGTGCATTTTTCAACGACTCCTTTTAAATTGTGTAAGATTAAAAAAGAAACACATTTCCACAACCATATCACACACAAAAAACCATGAAAAAGTACATCATCGTAAATAAGGCACGAGGCAATACTTACAGTTTTCTTTCCCGGTTTAGCCACGTTAGGCTTCCAATCGTCTATTTGTAGGTAGTCTTCCATGGAGAGTTGAGACGGTCGTAGAGGCTTGCTGGTGCCGTCGAGGCGGGCTGCAACAAACAATCACTAATTTTAATACTCTGTTACGCGCAATTTAGCAAATTAAACAACAGAATAACAGAACATTCTTCCCGCATCACCTCCGCCCAAGGACTCTTGCAACTTTAAACAGATTAAAATGATACCACGTCAAGTAGACATAGATCAACTTGTACGGTATAGTAGGGTTGTTTTGAGACCATTATTACTACATCCCCTATTGTATGCAGCAATAATTATTTATATTATTGGCTCTATATTAGGTAACATTTATTTACATTGAGGAACAATGATTGGTTTAACATTATAAATGATACTGAAATACCCCACAGAGTGGATCTCCATCCGCTTGCACATTCAGTGGGGTATTTACAGATACAAGTGGCAGTTAGATATTTGCTTCTAACACTACTGTACTTAAAGGAACAACTATCATTTTTACTATGATCAACTCATTATGATATGTGATTCGGAGTCCTACCACTAAAACATATTTATAAATTTTCTGTAAATAAAACATTAGCCATTATTGTAATTCATATCAGAAACATACCTAGTTGTGCGGCGTCGTCCATTTTCTCCCATTTCGATGTAAAATGATTTTCAACCTGTGTTGGAGTATTCTCTGATTTTAGTTAAAATGCTGAAATAAAATCTGTTACCCTATCCATACGATAGCTTATAAACATAATAATACAATAGAATCCACATAGAAAACTTTACATGGGCATGACTATTTAAAAATAAAACAAAAAGATAACATTTTACACATAATATAAAATGTGATATCAAGCCTATGGAATGTCTATAAAATTGATTTATAAATACCTAATTCAAAAGTAAATAGATACTGACAAAAACCAGTATGGTTAACTTTAAAATTTGTTTATAATCATAAAATGCCTCACCTCAGTCTCCACTGTATCCTCCATTGTGACTCCATCATCAGCGTCTTCCATTTGCACTTCAGTAATAGCAGCACTCTGTAGCAGAGTTGTTGGATCCAGTTGGATGTGGTGCGCAGGAGTCGAGAAAAATCGGCATTTCATAGCTTTAATTTCATCCAATGAGCGGTTGTGGATGTTTCTCTTGTGACAAGTTGCCACATCTGCTTCCATGGTACAGATGTACACCTGTTATAAATATATGTATCTATTTACCAAAAAAGCGAAATCTATGTATATATTAAAAAAAACTAATAATTTTCAAATTAAAAGAAATTTCCATGTTCAATGAAGTCTCCCTTTAATCTAAGCATGAAATTAATCTTAATCAGCAGTATTAAATATAAAATAACTTTTTTTATAATTTTTTATAATATTAAATAATTTAATTAAATATAATGAATTGTTTATAGATGTACCTGAAATCCATTCTGTCTTGCAAAGTTCCATACATCGGCATACGATTTTAATTGCTCATTTACAGCATCAAATATCAAAAACGAAAAATATCCATCTGTTAGACTGCGTTTAAAAGCGCGTTTTAATGAATGCAAATAGCTTTCTTCCATTTCTGGATCATACTCATACTTCAAAGATGGTTTTTTTACCTGAAATAATATTGTGTCATACCACAATTTAAATTAAATTTATTAATATTCAACATATTAAATTATTCTAAGAATTTTAAATAGCTAATGAAACATTCCAGAAGCAATGATAATCATTATTTAAAACCCACCACTTTCCCTGTGACAGGATCATTAACCTCTATTTCACCTTCTTGCATAAAGTAATCATCTAAAGACATTATTCTAACAGTTCCACCATGCTCAGCTTCTTTATCGCGAATTAATTTTGCTAAATATGATTTACCACTACCTGGTAACCCTGGAAACCATAAAAATACAAATTTGTAACTTGTCTATAAAAATCCATCCCCAAAGACCTTAGCATGGTATTTTACCCACCTCTTAATATTATGACTATTTTATCTGGTCTCATTTCTCGACCCGGTGATTCTAATATATCATCAATCATTACAATATGCTTCGCTAGAGTTATGTCATTCTTATTAGTTGCTTTTGCCTTTTTTAAAGTATTAATGCCTCTGTCACTATCACTTTCTTTACTATGATCCCTTTTACGATTTTCTTTCTCCTTACTTCTACTACGGTTTCTATTATCATCTTTTCTATAATCTCTATACCTATCCCTATTATATTCATCTCTATCTCTTCCTTTTTCCCAATCTTTTTCTCTATCTCTATAAATATCCTCCCTTCTTCTATATTTATCTGAGTCGTCTTTTTTTCTATCATCATATTTATCTTCATACCTACGTCTTTCGACATATTCCTCCCTCAAAGGAACTCTTTGTCTGTAATCTTCTTTAGTGTAGTCTCGAGGCTTTTTTTCGTAGTCTCTATAATGTAGATCACGATGAAACTTCTCAGAAACAAAACCATCATCATCAAGTTCCTTTTTTGGTGGTTGCCTAAAGAAAAGTTCATCTACTTCTTTTTCAAAATCTTTCTTCTTGTAATCAGTTTCCTTGGATTTATGGTTGTAATCAAACACATGCACAGGTTCAATAAAGTCCCGAGCTAAAAGAACAAGAAATGTATTCATTAAATCATTAAAATAAAAAACTAAAAATACTAAACAGCCAATAAAAATGTTGTACTCAAAACAAAAAGCATGTACAGAACAGAACAGAGCAACAGATATAGAAATAGAATCTAAGCAAAAACAGAAACAGAAAAGGATGTGTTAATAGAATTGTAAATAATATGGAATATTACTTTTTTTTATTAGATTAATATTTAACATTGAAAGTAAAGTAGGGGTAAATTATATTTTATGAAAGGTACTTTGACCGCTTCTATACCCAACAAGCTTCTCGGGGTGTTGTTCATAAAATAGACCATAATCCACAGTACCCATGCTTCATCCTGTCTTAATATGTCCATTTAAATGTCAGCATTAAAAGTAGCAAAATAGAAACAGATGTAAAAAAAACGTGTGGAACTTTCACACTTGCGAAAATAGAAGCAAAGATCTGACTAAATAAAAATTATAATGCTAATTGACATTAAAAGGACACAACAAACATTAAATATATAGTATAACAGAAATTAACTAAGATTCACTGTCACTTCTTTTGAACAAAGTTATTATTATATGCAAGCAACCCAATGAATATAAAATTAAAAGTACTGCATGAAGGTATACTGATACTGTGAATCAGACAGCTAAACATATTTGTGATGTAGCCACAATGAAAAGAAAAAGTGGCATACATCAAATGACAAAATATAATAATTTATCCTAAATTTATAATATTTTAACCTAAATTAAACTAAATATTTTATTTCATGATGATATAAATAAATATAAATGATGGTAAGCACATAACTCAAGAATGGCTGGACCAATTCAGCTAACATATTTTTTTGTATGTTCTGGTCCATGGAAGGCTTTATTACTATATAAAAAAAAGAAAGAACAAAGTCTGCCCTGACAGCTAGTTGTGCAAATAAACTTTCAATTTCTTATCTATTAATAATTACCTTTCAATCTTAATGGTTTATGTTCATAATCAACTATAACTGATGGTGTAAATAATGGATCTTCAATCCACTTTGACCTAACAGATTGACCTGGGGCAGGACACATTGTTTGGTCAGCAATAGCTCTTCTTGCATGATTATCTCTTGGTAAGTTTTCTAAGCTATTTTGAATAGACTGATTTTGTATAGGCTGCTCTATATGGCTCATATTTTTTGATGTTGGATTATGTGCAATGTTATGAGAATAATTTATATAATGTGGTTCCATCAGTATGTTTTTTTGGCTTTGGTCATATGATGTTCTTTGTACTGAGTGTTCTATATCTTGTCTGGGAAATGCCATAGCATTTTGTGGGTTATATGGAATGTTTTGTCTCATACTCGGGGGAGGAGTACTCAATTGTTGTTTATCATTTATTATATTATGGAAATTATTTGACTGTCGATTAGCATCAGCTGAATCAAAAGACTGTTGACCTCTAACCATTGAAAGAATGTTCATTATTTTTTCATCCCCCAATATGTTATTTATACCTTGTGATATTGTAGAGTAATCGGGTCCTTTTAAATTACTCAATTGTTTTTCTGTAAATTTTTCTTGCATTATATCAATGACATCCTGTTGTTTATTATGAGATATCTTTTCAACTTCTGGAACTAAATCCAATCCTGGTATACCCTTTAAAGCTTCTTTGGTGGGTAAGAAATTAGATTTGTCCATGTTACCACATGAATAAGGCTCAGCACTTTGGTAAGAGTCATTTCTATATTGTTGATCCAGCTTATTTTCATTGCTGTAACTGGGTTGACTTACATTATAATATGGATAATGTGAATTTTTTTGATTTGAACCATTTCCAGACTGATTGCTATTAAATTTTTGTGACTGCAGATTAGTTGGACTGTAATTCCTATTTACAATTTGAACTGCTGGTATTGCACTACTAATAGTATTACCCGCAACTGCACTGTTAGGTATTTGAGTTGTAGAACTAGTTAGTCTAGCCCTCTTTTGTTTCATTTGCTGACGGCGCTCTAATAACTGTGCTCGACAAGCTTCAAATTTTTGTTCATATTCACTATATGCCTTTTTATCAGGATGATTAGCATTTTCCTCTTTCCACTTTTCTATTTGCTTTTCCCATTTCTGGAATTGAATATCGAAAAATCTCTCCTCTTCTGACAATTGCTCTAGGGCTTCAGTATTTTGAGACATATCATTGCATATATCTGTAGCATAGGACCAGTTCTGAGGATTGCTTGAAGTTTTTGTTTTGTTTACATTATCAGGTTTGTTCAGAACTTGTGTTGGTGTCGGTGCCAGTGCCGGTGGCGGTAACGACAGCTGTGCTGGTGCCGATGGCGGTGCCGATGGCGGTGCCGGTGCCGGCCGGTACCGGTACCGGTACCGGTACAGGGGGTGGTGGTGGTTTTTGAAGATCATATAAAGGCTGATCATTTTGATGTGGTGGTGGTGGTTGATCTGGTGGAGGTGGTGCAGGCGGTGGAGCACAACTCATCGGGGGCAAAGGCGGCACCATTCCCATTGAGTGCATTTGTTCTGCATACTAAATCATATTTAAAAATTATAAATAATGTTTTGATTGTAAATGAATTTATAAATACTAAACCTAAAATAAGTGGACACTGGAGCCAAACCTTTTCCCCATATTGAGATTGCCACTGAGAATATTGTTGCTGCCACTGGCTCCATTGTTGCCAATTTTGTTGTTGCATTAAAGCCCACTGCTCAGGTGTAAAGCCCAGATTCATATTAGATGACATAGCTATGCCAGTGTTCCATTGAGCTGAAGGCGGTATTGGCCAAGACATTTTATCGAAATGTAGTAATCGTTATCAAACTTATTTATATTGCGTACTATTCTACTATTTAATTGGAAACGTATAAATAATGTTTTAATAATAATTAACGGCCGCCATCTTAACATGGCGTTGCAAAGATCCATAGACATAGAGTACTGATACCTGATGCAAAGATCGATAGTATCAGGGTTGGATTTAGGTACGGTAAAAAAGATAGTACAAAAAATTTAAAAGGATAGTATTTGACAAAAAATACACTTTAATTTTTGTGCATTAATAATTAATGCACAAAAAAAAATTATTTTACGAATTAAAGTCGCAGAAAATTATTACCACTTTGAATTTTGAATAAGACTGTACCATAAAAATAATAAATTAATCGTACTGTTACACAATTATGAACTCTATTTATGACTTCATTGAGTGCAAAGTGACTGTTTGAGAAAGCGGAGCATTGAAAAAAATTACCATTCACAGTAAGTCCCCGTTAATTGTTCATTGATGACAATTATTTATAATCTATGGTAATAATAGACAATGTCACCTTTCTATTGTTCATGTTCGCTATACATGATTACAATTTACAAGCCAAAGAACTTCTTCTTATATTGTTGGATTGGCTGTGAATTGTATAATATTGGTCATTTATTTATAGTAACGAAATTACAGTACGTTTTCGTACTATCCGTATATATGGATAGTATTTAGTGCGAAGAATGAAATTATAGTACATATACTATAATTATAATACAAAATTCTACCCTGGATAGAATCGATACGAAACGAAACGAACGAAACTACGTAATGATGTACTTGTTAACATTACTTATCGATAATGTAGAAAATTATAAACGTTTCACAGTACTCGCAAAGCAGTCCTATTTATTATTAAAATCAATATTTTAATCGAAACCTTAATATGCTTTTAAGCCCGCTTACTAATGAAAAATAACAGGACTTGGCGTAACCTACATCAAAAGCGATGATTATACACTTTGTTTATACACTTGATTACACAAAAGAATTTGATCAAAAAGCGAACCTTACTAAGTAAGCCAGTTAAACCGGTAATAATTTTTTTTAGTTCGTGACTTTTTTTAGGATTTATTGTTACATCCGCTTAAAATAAAAAAATAAAAACAGTCTTTATGACTTAATACACATAGCGCAAGTTGCGTGCAATGGAGAATATTACAATTGAGTTTAGTAAATTATTGATTTACAGATTTGTTAGGCAACTCTATCTGGTTAAAATTGAAAAATAGAAACAGTTTTTAAGAGTTAATACACAATGCGCAAATAATAACTTGCGAGCAATCGAGCATATTACATATTTAACTTTGAGTTTAGTAAAATTAATTTTGATTTACAAATTTGATAGGCAACTCAAAATTTAAATTGCAATCAAAATATGTCAGGCTATTTCATAGCTACAGAAATAAAACATCCATATAACTTTATATGAAATAAACAACACTTATGCCTACTTTATAATTGCTATTACCAAGTATAGTCTGTTTGCAGGAGCGTTACCAGTATTTGAATGCGCTTAAATATGAAAACTAATACTTCTCGTCATCATATAACCGTGGTGGAATGGTAATAACGAAAAAGGTATGGCCCATTGGAAACCAACATAAGTTGAGTTGTGTACAAAACTTTTAACATGCAAACCAGAGTTTGCTTCTTACAGTACATAATTCATATTTTATAATATGTAACACAGTCCAAAACAATAATCACAAGAATATGAAATTAAAATCGTTATAATGTTAAAACATTAAATCATGTGGTGGTTTTAACATTAGTGGCTTATTATCATGCGAAAATTTTGGCTATACATAGCAAAGCGTTTCACAATATTTTTCGTTTATATTTGCTTATGTTTAAGAAAATTAATAATTTTCGTTTCCTAAGTACCAATCTAAAAGAAAGAAAAATGAGTAGTCCTGAAAAATTTATTCTTGAAAATATATGCACTATTGAAATTTTTTGAAAAGATTATTTGATAAAACGATTCGTAATCAAACTTTATAACTATAAAATGTAATAAATAGTAAATAAAACAGCTAATCCTTACAATAGCCCATTCAAGAAAACGACTCAGTACATCTCAGACTCTCACAATCACTTAAGTGGCCTTTCACTACAAATTTGGAATGGCAAATTAGGCAGAACATGGCAAAACTGGCAAATTTAGAATTTCGCGAAAACTTGTAAGTACTAAAATTTACTTTAATTTTCAACATTTTTATTTTTCGGAATGTTCTCTTTAATGTTCTCTTTGTAATTTAACCAAAATTGACAAATTTAGGTCAACTGAAAGTACCCTATAAGTTTTGTGAAAACTTATATGGTAGTTTCCGTTGACTTAGACATTAATTTATATCAATTACGTAATTATTTAATAATGGTAGAATTGTTATATAATTAAGGGTTAAAACGAATAATGTATATTATTTTCATATAAATAATTTTATTATATTGAAAAAAATTTAATACACTACCATTCTCTTGGATGTTTCAAGACTGTTGCCATTATTTAACACTTTCATTTTGCCCAAAAAAAATAACTAGTCAATCAGTACCAGACCAGGTATTTAAAGCAGTCTGTAGTAAGTACAAGTATCTATCACGATTCGAATACAGACAGAAGTAACAGACTAAAAAGTATCGAAAAAGTAAAGTATCTCAAGAACTTTAACATACCGTACCTATATTATGTGTTCGTTATCGAGTTACGGGACATCGCCAGAATCAAATTTACTCAACATCATATAAAAAAAACGTTGCTTTAAGTGTATTTCGTTATTTGCATTTATCGTACAGAATTTTGTATGATGTTAGTCACTTTGATTTCGTTTCTGCTAGTTTCGTGCCTTCGTTACAATGTAATTTTTTTATAGATTATTACATATTATATTTTTTGTATGTTACGTTATGATCACTGAATTAATTTTAAACGTTGATAAATGTGTTTACTTCAGAAGGATATAATTTAACTTCTATTTTATTTAACAGCGCAATTTTCTAATGTTATGACTACTGCAAACATAATAATTTTATATACAATGATATAAAATAGTAAACTAATTTTAGTCTATCAATAACTAGCAAATCAATTCGATATTCACGATGGCCGACTTAAAAATAAAATTTCCCTTAATAGAAACTAATCCTCGAAACTAAATGGGTAATTTTAATTGTTAAGAGTAAAAAGTAAATTAAGTATATATGCAACTAAGCAATCGAACGATCATTTATTTCACATCACTAGCAAGACGCCATTTTCGCTTGTATGTGGTAGTGCCTCTGATTGTGTCGTTTTAATTTTTAAATAATAAGAAGTTAAAATTAAGTTCTACAATTTAAGTAAGACAATAATTTAGATTTTGATTAATTACACTTCGTGAACGTTTTCATTTACCAAAAATATTATAATTATTTGCAGTGATATCGTCAGCGCGGGAAATGTGGCTACGTTTCATAATAATCTTGTTCAAATGCTTATAGAAAAACATTCATTGTATTTGTGCTCCAACTAGGTTAGTTTCAAAATGATTTCATTCAAAGGACGGGAAAGCAAGAGAGGCCGAATTTATAAAATGTCAAGAAATCTAGAACGTTTATATAAAGAAGGAAAGTGCCGGGACTGTAGAGTTCTAGTAACTCGAATGGACTTTGCAAAAATTCTTGGCAAATTTACCAAAGTTAAAATTCAATACGAAAGTAGTTCTTCACCTAAAACGAAAAAAGGTTCGGATTCCAATACGTCAAATATAAATTCTAGATTAAAATGTAATGAAAATGGAATGGTGCTTATTCACAGAAACACTAACAAACAGAACCTAGCTAAGGCTTCTCATGGCCCAAAAAAATCAAAGGGGAATGAAATACTCTCTGATAGTGTAAAAGAGCCAAAACAGGTACATCAGGCAAGTAATATACTTAAAGAAAACAATGGAGTAAAAAAGAACCAAATAGTAAAAGAAAAAACTTGCAACTATGCCAAAAAAGCTGTGAATTCTAATTTAAAACACTATGGTATAGTATTTACATCCCCTTCAATGTCAAACAACAATAATAATAATGAAATTAAAAGTAAAATCTCATTAATGGATATATTACCTAGCTTAAATAAAAGTATATTGCCTACAGAAGACTGGTGTATAGATTATTTTCCTAAAAATGAAGAACCTAAAGATGATAAAGTATATGATCGCATAGCAGCAGAGTTGGAAGACTTAATGTATAATGAAAAACCAGTTGAAAAATTAAAACCTGATGTATCTGAAATAAAGGTTGAAGAATTTCCTTCAATTATGGACATTTTAAATGATAGTACTGCAGAAAATACTCTCAAAGAAAATGATAAGAGTAATTCAGAACAATTTAAAAATAATTCAGAATCAAATGATGTGGAAGCAATACTTCTTGGAAAAACAAATGTTGAAAATAAGAATACAGAATCAACAAATATGGAAGTTGATAGCACAGATGTAAGTAAATTAATTGAGGACATGGATCAGTTGACAAACATCGCAGAGGATACTAAGTTATCCAAAATTGTAAAAGAGGAGGTTGCAGGAAAAGCAGAAGAAATAAATACTATTGAAGAAGCAGAAAATCCACAAAGTCCATCTATATTAGATGAAGCGCTCCAAAAGGGCATTGAAGAACATTTACCAAATGACAATCAGCAAAAGGATGCTTTACCAGTGCTTACTGATGTTGCTGAATGTAAAGGTAATGAAATCAACAAGACTATTTCCGATACTGATGTTAAACCAGCACCATGTGATGTGAATACACCTGAAGGTGTTTCTGATTCAATAGCAAACAATCATGATGGAAACAGCAGTGTATCTTTATTTCATAGCGCAAATGTAACCCATGTTGTATTTAAAAAAATGTTAAATGGCAAATGTTCTAAGTCTGTAACATGTCCAAGAAACTTAAAATATAGTATTGAACTTGAAGAAAAATCAGTAGAGTTTATAGGTGCGCCA